GCAGAATTCTGAGATTAAAGTCAAAATTCTGAGATAAAAGTCAGAATTCTGAGATTAAAGTCAGAATTTACAGAAGAGGATAAGGGTTACGGTGCAATACATTTTTTCTCCCTTAATTTTGAGAAGAAAAAAAGTCTGAATTCTGAGATTTATGTCAGAATTCTGAGATTAAAATAAGAAATTCAGACTGTGGTCATCTAAATAAGGAAGAGGATTAGGGCCAAGGTGCAATAATCCCCCCCCCCCCCCCCCGTTTAATTCTGAGACAAAAGTCAGAATTCTGAGATTAAAGGAAGAATTCTGTGAAAAACGTCAGAATTCTGAGAAAAAAGTCAGAATTCTAAGAATAATGTCAGAATTTATGGAAGAGGATTGGGGCCATGGTGCAATATATTTTTTCTATCTTAATTGTGAGAGAAAAAATAAGTCAGAATTCTGAGATTTAAGTCAGAATGCTGATTAAAAAAAGTCAGAATTCTAAAATTAAAGTCAGAATTCTGAGGAAAATATCATAATTCTGAGATTAAAGTCAGAATTCTAAGATTAAAGTCAGAATTCTGAGAAAAAGTCAGAAATCTGAGATTAAAGTCAGAATTCTGATATTAAAGTCAGAATTCTGAGAATAAAATCAGAACTCTGAGATTGAAGTAAAAATTTACAAACAAGGATTAGGGCCAGAGTGCAATACCATTTTTCTCCCTTAATTTTGAAAAAAAAAAGTCAGACTTCTGACATTTAAGTCATAATTCTGACAAAAAGTCAGAATTATGAGATTAAAGTAGGAATTCTGAGATTAAAATAAGAATTCTGAGAAAAGGCAGAAAAATCAGAATTCTGAGATAAAAGTCAGAATTCTGAGATTAAAGTCAGAATTTACAGAAGAGGATTAGGGCAACGGTGCAATACATTTATTCTCCCTTAATTTTGTGGAGAAAAAAAGTCAGAATTCTGAGATTTAATTCAGGATTCGGAGATTAAAATAAGAAATTCATGCTGTGGTCAACTTCGAATTCAATTCAATTCAGTTTAATTATATAGCGCCAAATCACAACAAAGTTGTCTCAGGGCACTTTACAGAAACATTCACATACATAAAAGCCAATTAGTAAAGTTCTCTATCTAAGGAATCCAGCAGACAAGTTGAATCTTGGCTTTGTTGCAGTCTCCCATCCTGAGCAAGCACAGTGGCAACAGTGGAAAGAAAAAACTCCCTTTTAAAAGGAAGAAACCTCCAGCAGAACCAGGCTCAGGACAAGCGGCCATCTGCTTTGACCGGCTGGTTGAGAGGACAGGAAGGAGAGACAGACGAACACAGAATGGTAGGTCCAGGTATAGGTCCAGGTGTATCTGAAAGACAAAAAAACACATGTTAAGGATAGAAAAAAACATTACAAATACAAAACAGGTTGAGCAGGGTAAGTAAAGACAGAAGTAGAGTGAAAATTGTGGTCAGTTTGTCCTCCAGCAGTCTAAGCCTATAGCAGCATAACTAAGGGACAAATCAGGAAACCCAAGCCGACCCTAACTATAGGATTTAGCAAAAAGGAAAGTCTTAAGCCTCGTTTTAAAACTGTATAATGTGTCAGCCTCACGGACAGAGAATGGCAGTTGGGTCCACAAGACAGGAGCCTGATAACTAAGGGTACATTCACACTAGCCCTGTTTAGTCCGCTTTAATCAAACTCTAGCTCGTTTTCCTAGAAAGTCCGGCTCGTTTAGGGAGGTGTGAACGCACCATCGAACTCTGTCACGGAACAAAAAGGTGAACTCTGGCCCTGGCTAAAACCTAGGTCTCGGTCCGGTAGAAGAAAACTCCAGCGCGGTTCGAGTACAGTGTGAATGTAAACAGACCGAGCCCTGCTCCACAGGATTAAAAAAACACGCATTTCTCTGACCTTATATGGAGCCGTCAGCTGTCTTGTGTGAAAAACAATATTCTCCATGGTCTTCTGTCTCATTTTCTGCTCATGCTAAGTCCATTTTTGAAAAATGACAAAATATAACTCCTAAAACTGCTAAAACTTGATGCCACTTCATTTTATTTTTATTTACAGAAGAAGAAGAAGAAGACGTGTCTTCAGAGGTTTTTGTGTTGTTTCTTTCAGTAGTTCTTGGTGCAGCGCCCCCACAGGCGAGCGGGGGAACAGGTTGGTTCAACAGGTTGACTCGACTGCACAGTGCAGTGTGAATGCAAACTCACCAGCTCACATGTAAACAAAAGGTCATGAATAATGGTCCCGAACCGAGTCTACCGGACTATCTGGTGTGAAAACGACCTAAAAGATCTGCCTCCTATTCTGTTTTTGTAAATTCTAGGAACCACAAATAAACCTGCTGTCTGAGAGCGAAGCGCTCTGTTAGGAAAATATGGAACAATAAGAGCTGTAATATAAGATGGAGCTAGGTTGTTGAGAGCTTTGTAGGTTAGAAGTAAGATTTTGAATTCTATTTTGGATTTGACAGGGAGCCACTGGAGAGAAACTAAAACTGGAGAAAAAAAAAAAAAAAAAAAAACTGGAGAGATATGATCTCTCCTACTAACTCCAGTTAAGACTCTGGCAGCGGCATTTTGGATGAACTGAAGACGTTTTAAAGAAGCATTTGGACATCCAGATAATAAACCATTGCAATAGTCCAGTCTAGACGTGACAAATGCATGGACCAGTTTTTCTGCATCATTTTTAGATCAGATGTTTCTAATGTTAGTGATATTACGCAGGTGGAAGAAGGCAGTTCTAGTAACGTTTTTAATGTGGGGGATAAAAGACATGTCCTGATCAAAAATAACACCAAGATTTTTAACATTAGAGCTGGAGGACAGATTAATGCCATCTAAGGAGGGAGAAAGACTGAAAAATGCATCTACTCATCTACGCATTCTTATCATCACACTCTTGATTTAGTTCTGACCTATGGTATAGAGATTAAGGACTTGGTAATAGTTCCTCAAAATCCTATTCTGTCCGTCCATTTTTTTAATAACCTTTGAGTTTACATTAAATCACTACACAGTCACTGAGAGTAAATTTCATCTCAGCAGGTGCTTATCAGAAAATGCTGTAACCAAATTTAAACAATCTCTTCCATCATTGTTTTCCTCTGTCTTGCAGAGTAATGCATCAGAGAACAGAGACTTAGATCATCTAGTTGATCATCTTACAACTTCAATGCAAACTTCACTTGATACAATTGCTCCACTGAAAAAGAAAGTAATCAATCAGAGGAAACTGGCTCCTTGGTTCAATTCTGAGTTAGGTACTTTAAAGCAGGCATCTAGAAACCAGGAGAGAAAATGGCGCTCTACTAATGTTGAAGAATTTTATTTAACTTGGAAAGATAGTCTGCTAACATATAAAAAAGCTCTCCGTAAAGCTAGAACTTTATATTACTCATCTTTAATAGAGGAGAATAAAAATAACCCTAGGTTTCTGTTTAGTACTATTGCTAGACTAATTAAAAGTCCCATTTCTGTTGAACCATGTATCCCTACAACTATAAGTAGTGATGACTTCATGAGATTCTTTATAAATAAAATTATTTCAATTAGAGAGAAAATCCAAACCATCCTTCCTTCTACTATCTCTAGTCCCCTGTCAAATGAGACAACTTTAAATATTTCACTAGAGCCTGATTTATGTTTGGACAGTTTTGGTCCTGTTGAGCTCTGAATTGTCAAAAATAATAACCTTATCCAAACCATCCACATGCCTGCTAGATCCCATCCCAACCAGACTGTTTAAAGAGGTATTTCCACTAATTAATGTCCACATTTTGGATCTACTTAATTTGTCTTTAATGGATGGTTATGTACCACAGCGTTTTAAGGTTGCTGTAATTAAACCTTTACTTAAGAAGTCTGATCTTGATTCAGAAATTCTGGCCAACTATAGACCTATATCTAATCTAACTTTCATCTCAAAAATTCTAGAGAAAATAGTTGCAGGTCAGTTGCGTGAACATCTACAAAGAAATAATCTGTTTGAAGAGTTTCAGTCAGGGTTTAGAGCTCATCATAGCACAGAAACAGCACTAGTAAAAGTCACTGATGATAATCTCATGGCCTCAGACAATGGACTAGTGTCTATACTGGTCCTGTTAGACCTCAGTGATGCATTTGATACAGTTGATCACAATATTTTACTACAGAGGCTTGAATATGATATTGGGATTACAGGAACAGCTCTAAAATGGTTTAAATCATATCTACAGTATCTGACATATTCCAATTTGTAAATGTAAATAGTAAATCTTCTTCATACACCAAAGTTAGTCATGGAGTTCCTCAGGGCTCAGTGCTTGGGCCAATACTCTTTACTTTATATATGCTTCCATTAGGTAAAATTATTAAACAGCATGGGATAAATTTTCATTGTTATGCTGATGACACACAATTATATTTGTCCATTAAACCCAATGAATCCAATCAGCTACTTAGACTACAAGCATGTCTTAAAGACATAAAAACCTGGATGACCCTTAATTTTCTCCTGTTGAACACAGACAAGACAGAGGTTTTGGTTTTTGGACCTGAGCACCTTAAGAATGAATTTTTCAGTCTTTCTCCCTCCTTAGATGGCATTAATCTGTCCTCCAGCTTTGGCTCTAGTAGTTTTCTCTCTGGAGTAATACCATTGTGAATACTACCAAACATTCATTTAGACTGTGACAGGCTAGTTTAGTCTTTTTGGATACAGTTTTTTTTTTTATTATTATTATTCTGGCCATGTTTTACATTTAAATATTTAACATGAAATGTACAAATTTGTTATTGTTCTTATAAAATACATTTCCTTGATTTTCTTTTCTGCTTTTTTTAGAAAAACAAAGTAATTCGACAGATAATGAACTAAACAGCTCAGTAGTAAAACACAATGTCTACATTTACCATGATGATGTTGAGTATTTTACCAAACAGCATCAGATTTCTATAAGTTCACAGCATGCTGACGAACACACATATTGAAAAATACTAGGAAAGTGTATTTAAGTATAGTTCTCCTTCATACAACCTTAAATACAAACATATATTTTTGCACACAGCTGATAACATGACAATGTGGCAATTAAACTTGGATCTGAGCTTCTGATTTGAAACAAACCACCTAATTCAAACATGCATTGATTACTTTTATTACTTTTTGTTATTTTGCATATTAGTTTCATCACTTGTGTGACAGAGTCATGTGACTCAAACACCTCTGAGCTCAAACAGTTTGTGAAAACAGATAAAACACAAAACATCATGTAAATCCCATGACTTGAATCAGAATGTAGTACCTGATTTACGTTCAACATTATTTTGGAGTGCCCTGAGATGACTTCTGATGTAACTGAACTAAATCACATTCACAGAGACGGACAGTAAACACTTTAAAGGAGGTCTTTTTGTTTCTGGAGGAAGTGTAAATAACAACCTAAAAGCTAGAATGAGAAGGTGCTGTTCTGCCGAGCCAGAAAGTAATCCATTTTCTTTTTCCTTTTAGGTTTGAAGAGGAGGTAGAGGAAGACAGAAACCACTGTCAGAAAGCAGGAGACGGTTGTCACGGCAACAAAAAGCCACGTGAAGGTAGAATCTGTAAATAAATATTGGTGCTTTAATGTCAGATAAACTGGTTATGGTACTATATTTATTGTTTTTTATAAGATTTCTTGATACAGCATTCACTGAAAAGTGTTTTCAGCCAAGCTTTTACTTTGAAAAGTCACCTTCTAGTTGAAGTATTACAACAGCTTCCTGACTCCCCATTTTGTTCTTGGTGACACACTTGATCTCTGCCTTCTCATCTTCTTCAGTGATGAGTGAGATGACAAGCCTCATCTCGATCTGGCAACCTTTAGACAACCTGGTTACCCTGGAAACATTTAACCAAAAGTCAGCACACAAACACACTTCAAATTTTATTAACACGAATAATTGAAATATTAGATTTTAGCTTCAATTCAATTCAGTTTATTTATATAGCTCCATATCACATCAAAGCTGTATCAGGGCTAGGGGGTTGAACGACTACGTACTGTAATTTTTCAACTCAACATTAACATAATAAAACTCGAGTAGAACTCGAGTAGTTGATGACGTCATAGGATCTCAAGATGAAAAAATTAATTAAAAAAAAAAAACTGAAAAAAAACAAACGTTGTTTATTATTTACCAAAAAAGAAGACCAACAAAATATTGGGAGGATATATTATGCTCCTACCATTTATCATACTGCAAAAAATAAGTCACAGGAAAACCAGAACTTTTAGTTATTATTATTAAGCTGCAAAAGTGAAATAAATAACGTGCAGCATGTCCAAAACGAAACTAAAAACAGTGGGGCAGACATGTGTATATATGTATATATGTATATATGTATGTATGCATATATATGTGTGTGTGTGTGTATATATATGTGT